GGTGAAAAGGATTTTCTTGTTAGAGCTCTTACTGTCCCCTCCCATACATGGCTGCGACTAATGTTGAATTTTGATATTGAATCTAAATTAATAACACTGGATAGTTCTTTAAGTATATCAGGTAGTGACACAGTGGAATGCTGGGAATTGGAAGACTCGTCATTTGGGCCTACTTCCATTTCCACATCACTCATGCTTTCATAACCAGCAAGATCTACCTCATCACACAACCATGATGCGTACAACCAATCAAAATCTCCAGTTGGGGTCGTTGTTGATGTGCTTGGTCCTCCATGATTCGTTGGTGACATTCCTTGGACAGATATAACTGTGTTGGACGAATCTCTGTCCACACTTGTGCTCACGTGACTAACTTCACTCCTTAATTAAAACAATTATGATAATAATGAAAGAAATGTGCTTCTTGCAGCGACACAGGATACAGTGTACAATAGCTTTAGTTTAGTCAGAGTTTAATTAAATATCCTACCCAAAGCCAAAACATAAAATTTTGTTCATAAGAATACAAATGATAATATCTTGAATGTTGTGTGCCTGTGTAGGTAAGTGTAAGAATAATACAATTTGCAGATTTGTTTATTTACCATTAATATCATACATGACACTTACTGACAAAATGGAGGCTGCTGACCCCCCCCCCCCTCCCAACCCCTGTATGCTTACATGACAACTTGACAACCATTCAAGGGTTTCCATTGACAGATGGGATATTACAAGAAGGTTTGGACTTTATAGGGACTTATGAATTCTATATTTGGAAAATAAGGAATAACTTACTTGTTGTTTCCCATTTCTTCTCTACTTTCCATATCGATTGACTCATTTGACTGTGATTCCTTGCCATCACTACATGACATACCAATACGATCGAATGTATCTTCCTCGACACTCATTGTTTTCATCTGAATTTTCTGTGCAGAGATATAAAGCTATTCTGGAATAATTCTTTCCAAGATCCTCCTTATAGGTACTAAGGCAAAAAGGTGTATCAGGTTGCCCTGGTAAACTTGACGCACTTTGTCCATCTGGGTACACAATATCCCAGTCCAGCTTTTCATTGAACGACTGATCATATGCCTTTCTTTTTGTCAATGCTGCTATCAAAAGTTGAGCGTAATTTGCGTCTTTGTTTATTTTCAGCGGCAATGATTTTCCCCTCATTGGCGTATAGGCAGTTGAGGAATCTGCACAATAACGGTCATACTTCATAACCCCGATATTGATTATCACATCTTTGTCTTTTTGGGCAGTATTTTTTGTTTTTCCACGAAAGAATGTTGCACGTTGCTGACTTTTTTTGGCTTTGAACTTTTCGAATGTATCGCAAGCACGTCGGGGTTTGGATGCGTTGGTATCCATGTCGGTCAATGTTTTTCCACATTTTGGACAAAATTGGAAACCCTCTGACACTTCTGAGTCACAATTCTTGCACTTAATCTTCATAATTTGTCGTTTTATTTCCAAGAATTACGTTTACTTATTAAAGCACAGTTTGATTAAAGGTTTGTTTATGAGTGCAGCACAAAATGGCGGAATATTAAGAAAACGTGGTCATGCGAGTTTCCCGCGAAGTCTCGCGAGCGTCGTATTATGTTAGTTTTGTGTTTTGTTTAATTGAGTTTTGTGTAGTGAAATTGAGTTTTGTGTTGTGGAATTGAGTTTTGTGTTGTGGAATTGAGTTTTGTGTATCGTGAATTTTGTTTTGTGTAGTGGAATTTTGTTTCGTGTAGTGGAATTTTGTTTTGTGTAGCGGAATTGAGTTTTGTGTTGTGGAATTGAGTTTCGTGTAGTGGAATTTTGTTTTGTGTAGTGGAATTTTGTTTTGTGTAGTGGAATTTTGTTTTGTGTAGTGGAATTGAGTTTTGTGTATTGCACTTGTGGGCCACCGTAATATATAATACTAAAATGAATAAAGTTCAAATTCTTCAAAATGCTGTTGTTGACATTTGCTATTTTTAGTAATTTTGTCAACGAGTGTAAGCCAATCAGAAGTCTGCGTTTCTATACGAACGCCACTACCAAGAAAACCTATAGTTCCGTGCAGGCCCTCTAGTCTTCGCGCCGCCCGTAACCCAGGGCCTGTTCGCAGGCTAAAATCTTTGGTGTTTGCTCAACCTTGAAGGTACAAAGAAATATGTGTATTTGTATATATAAAAATATTATAAATAAGTATTTTATATTATATAAGTATTTTATAATATACTATATTATATATTTAATCTCTGATATTTAATATACTATATTTTACTATTTTATATAATATATTATGGATATTATACTTTGCAAATCATGTGTAATAATCCATCTTTATATGTTCTCTAATTAATATACTATACTAATATACCAAAAAATACTGTCCAACCCACATTTTCCCATTTTTGGCCCAGACACCTTGTTTGACAAATGTCGTCAGACGTCCGGATAACTTTGAATTTACAGAAAATCAAATGATTCATTTGTTCAGGAATGACGGATAAATATTTATTTGGGTGCGCTCATTGACATTGTGCGCATCCCCGGTACAAATAGGGTTAAAAATGATTACACTGTGTATTAAATATACGGTACAATAGTCTCTCTTATAGCCATTCTTTGAATAATATTTGTGTCATCATGTACTCCTCCACACAAGCTCATGAAGAGGAATAAAATCACAACACAAAGAGCAACTACAAGGGAGACTACATGAGCAACGGTCAAATCTTGACAATGATGGCAGTGATGTATGAAAAATTATTTGGACCATGAACGGAGGCGTAATATTAAACTGTATTAACACAAATTTTGTATTGAAACAAACAAATTTTGTTTCATACCCCCTCTTTAAAGTGATAAATTTATTTCATACCCCATCCAGATCCCTGAAAAAAATTTCATACCCCATCCCAATATCCTCCGCCCCCGGGTAGCACTCACTTTATGACCGCTCCCTTAAATTTCAAAATTTCGTGAATGTTGATTGTTAGTACTTCCGTAGTACGCCAAAAAGTTGACTTATGACGAACTTTTTATCTTGATACGCGAATACACCCGGAAGTACGTGTATATAAACTTCTTTTCAATCTGTGCATGCTCACCAGTACGTTTCGGTACGATACGGGCGAAGTGGAAAACCGGCTTAAAGGCCCTGTACACTATTGCGTATGAGAGAAACGTATGAAAAGCGTATGAAAATTAATGAAATAATTTTGATATGCACAAAAATCCTTTGAAATGCCAGCTTATGAGTACCGTACATCTGGCGTACCTCTAGCGTATTCAGCGTGTGCCTAGAGTCTGCTTATCGTATGAAGCATACGTCCGATACGCACAAAATTTTTGAACATGCTTAAAAAAAATTTCTGCCTCGGCGTATGCCACCGTATGCGACCGTGCTTGAAACGTATACAACGTATGTCTAACGTACCCCTAGCGTATGTCAGCGTATACCGGCGTACGAGTGATATTTTTCATACGCTGGCATACGCTAGTACGAACGCATTCTCGTACCCAGAGCCCTTCTTACGCGCGGTCAACCGAGCGCGACGAGGGGCTCTGGCCAAATCCATATCAAACTGGCTTCTGATTGGCCACAACTAAATATATGGTTTATTGTATAAAATATGAATAAAA